GATTATGCAATTCTTATGTAACATATCATCAATGGTGGATTTGACAAAAATTGGATTTTCTAGGCTGAACCTATTGTTCCTGGCATAAAAAAGAGTAGATAAGGACAAGAAAGGAATTTGGTAACCATGACTAATTGTGTCAGTAATAAAACAATTGGCTTTCAACTTCTCTCCAAAATGTCAGACAGGGTTTTAATTTACCGCCGCCTTGGAATGGACTCTTCACTGCATAATAGTCATGCGTGTGGGGCCAATGGGGAGCATTTCACCACACCTTGTTTCTCATTTTCACAAGTTTCCTCATTATTTTAGCAACCTTTCACACCGTTTTTGCAAACTCTTCATACCACTTTCCCGCTGTTTTCGCACACTGATTTTTTCGCAATGTTTTTGCAAATATGTCACGCCTCATTTGCAAAAATTGCACCCATTACGCACATTTTTCACACCTTTCTCGCACGTCATTAGCCCCTTTTGCATCCTATTTGCTGCGAATTTGCAGGAGGGAAAAATTGTGGTCAAAATCCATATGCGAATTCCTTTCGCATTTTTCCCATTCCTTTTCGCAGCGTTAACTTTCAAATGCAATGTACTGTATGTCCACTGTCTTTCCCATTTTAAATTCACTTCTCCAGTTTATCCAAACAAATGAAATACCGGGTAAAGTGCCATCTGTATTTACACCCGATAAAAACATCGGTAGTATTTTAAAGGTATTGTGAATTGAATATTTTGCGCAAGAATCAGTTGTCTGCAGAAGTGCATGTATACATGTACACGTATACGTGCATTGAAAAAGTAAAGAGAGAGTGCAGTGTTCGTGTACGACTACATGTACATGCATATGTGTACACATAAATCATGGCCGACCATCAGTCGACTTGATCGACCGAGAGCCAAAGTTGAAATTGTTAAAACTAATCAAGGACAATTCGCAATTTAAACAAAACATGGTATTCTTTTTGAAACACTCTTTCAATTACCAATATACATGGAGATGGAACATGCACAGACATCTTTCCCCCCATTTTCTCTTAAATGTCACTTATGATTAACAAGAAACACATGGCAAAACGAAATCTGAAGCCTGATTATATTTCTCAGGTACAGTGTGTATAAATTCAGCAAACTTTTACACATTGCAGAAGATCTCCACAGATGGATTTTGGTATTGTCATTTGCTGGCACGCGTCACCATTTTAACAAACAACAGAAAGTAACAATGAAAAAATTGCCATATTTTTCCGCATGTGCACAAAATACATCTACATGTAAGTGGAAGGATTGACATGCATTATCATACGGTTTGTACATGCTCTATGTGCATCGTTTTGTACGAGATTGCAAACAATTTTGGAACATAAACTCTTAAAATGTCAGTGCAATAAGTGTGTAATTGTGCAAAGAGGTTCTGACTTGGATACAATCAATTTGACAATCGACCAATCCTCAAGTTACAAATCCGCGGAAATGGACGTGGATGGAATACACCCTAGACAGACTGGTGACATAATCCGTCCCTGAAAAATCCAAAAGCTGGACATGCATTGTGCATTCTGTGTAACAAAGAATTGGAAGTTTGAAAACATGGTTAAATCAGGTGTGAAATGGCCAACTCACTCTACAAATGTCGGTATTTACAATTTTGGTATACTTCTACTAGTTCCTTTTAACTTTTAGAAAGTTTCAGGCAAATATATGAAGAAAAAAGTTCAACTAAAAAAGGCATATTAAAATTGCAAGAAAAATAACCAATGGTTGCGTCAGGAGGCTGTAAAATGCTCTACAGAGCATCTACCGTACTTGTACACGTTGGTTTACTTGTCAATGGAAGTCTGAAGTCCATTCGAAGTTCACTATAACTGATAATTGTAGGCTCAGAGGAAATTACAGTACATTGCATTTGAAAGTTAACGTGGCGAAAAAAACGGGAGAAAATGCAAAAAGATTTCGCATTTTGACCACAACTTTTCCTCCCTGCGAATTCACAGCAAATCAGATGCAAAAGGAGCAAATGAGGTGCGAAAACAGTGTAAAAAATCGTGCATAAACGGTTGGAATTTTTGCGAATACGGAATGAAACATTTGTGAAAACATTGAGAAAAAACTGCGCGAAAACAGTGTGAACATTTTGAGAAAGCGGTGCAAAAAGGTTCCGAAAATTATGCAGAAACTTGCAAAAATGAGAAGCATGGTGCAGCGAAATGCTCCACACTGGCCCCACATGCATGACTTGCAGTAAAGAGTCCATTACACAGGCTGCACTGCGCTGCGCTTGGGGCTGGTCAGGGCCAACTCACCACGTGAGCCATCCGGTCCATGCAGCGCCATTGCGAGCATTTGCTCACCACAGCGAGCCGTGCCCACATGTTTTCTCGGATTACCATAAATAAACACTCATTGATGTCGGCAAATAAATTTTTAAAAAGTTGTCTGGTTTTTTAGTAATTCATTGGGAGTTCCCAAGTCATGAAGTCACGGAGCACATGAAATGTGTATATTACAACAAACTTAACATGCTCTGCTGGGGCAACATGGCTTATTTGCCCACTTTTTATTTATTCTCGTGGTGTAGTTTGGCATACAAAATAATCAACCTTGAGATACTACTTGTAGTATTTTGTTACCGAAAGTTTTTTTTCTACTGATAAATAAAATCAACTGCTTAAATTGTATGTTTGTCTTTATGTAGCAAATCTCCTCTTTTCGCCGATAGTGTTTGGCGCGTAAATGACATATCGGGTCTGTTTTAACTTGGGTTTTCTGATGACATGTCACTTTCTGTGGTCACATGGTTATTGGAAAAAGTCAGCGATTGAACTGTCCATGAATGGACATGCAGTTAGCAGTCAGGATGTCACAGCGGGTGTGGATGCAGTGCATTTTTCGTGATGCGGTGCGGCATGCGCGAAGTCCTGTGGTGGTTTTTTAAGAGATTTGGTGATTTTTTTTATCAGCTTCATGAAAACTTAGAGATTTTATGTACCAATACATGTAAACGTAATTCACACACATGACAACATGTGGATACATACATGTATCTGTACATGTGCACATACATGTATGCGGTGCACATGTGGGGTGTCCATCCAAATTGGTTAATGCTAAGCTGTGTGGTTATAACACTCAATTCTGTTATAACAGGAGTCTACTGTAATTCAGCTGTTCAGTGCTGATCTCCGACCTCTACCATTGCCAGCTTTGATTTCGTATTGTATTTTGCCCCAAACCGAGAAACATACTGCTTTGAAGTTTTTAGTCTTCCTTAAGTAATCTTCTGGATATTCCAGAGAATTGAAGTACTTTTGTCTGAGACTAATTTTCCTCTACTTTCCATATTCAGAGATGCTCATGTTTGAAACCACAGAGAACAAAAACTTCCTTGTGTCTACATGTACATGCACCAATACTACTTAAGTGCAAAATTATTTCCCCACTTCCAGAGAAAATCTGTGAAAATATTTTCCTGCTTGTGTGAAAAGGGGTAAAAATCTTTCCCCACTGTTGGCACACTTTTTCACAATTCGTGAAATGAAAAGGAATTCCCTGGGAAGAGAAAAGTGTGAAAAGATTTTCCCATTTTGGTGTTAACTTTCAATCGCAATTTACTGTACATTTATCTGGAGATGTGTGTAATCACCCTTCCAAGGAACACATAAGAAATAATGGAGGATTTTGGGGATGGTATCCAGTTTTTCTTACACAGTTGAAGAATTGTGAATGACTACATGTATTAGTTCCTCACAAAAATGCATAAAGACTTGGGGTTAAGGATCAAAATGGGTTGCTCTCCATCATTTCTGATATACAGCGTATGAACTCTCGTGTCTCCATCTGTGTGTGTACATTTTCAGTTTATGGCCCAACTTTTTTCCTCTAGACTATGGACATGTAGACACATTTTCTAATACCTGTCAAACAAATAGTGATTGTATGAAATCAATTCCAGTGATATTCCAATGTCAAACAACAAAGGTCAGATGTAAAAGGGACATGAAAAATTACACTTTTGGACCCCAGATTTTTTTAATTGCCCATATGGCTTGCGAGCTGCCATGTTGGTCTTTCATCAGTTCATGCTAATGTAATAGACAGTTAACATGGTTATCATAGCAATCATAGTAATGGCAGAATTTGGAAGATAGAAATCCTTGTATACACCTGGGAATTGGAAACAAAGAGACAACATTAATTCCAAAGAACAAATGGATACCAAAAATTGACTGAATTTTTTTGTTTTTACATGTATTATTGAATTAGATGACCAAACTCAAGCAGCTGAAGCTAAGGTGAATTTTTATATATGCACACTGTTGATAGACCGATTGCGCCTGCTAAATCACGTGACATACAGTACATGTAGAGTGGGTATAAACTCTATACTATAGCAACATGTGTTTTTAGTTTAATACAAAGCCAATCACCCAGCACAGCAGTAGTCTGAGTACTGTACATGCACCCACCATCAGCTTTATTTTTGGTAAATGGTACTTATGAAACACTTTGCTTTTGGTGGATGCCATGTTTGTAGATATTTAATACCCACTATTTAGTAGGTCATGTGACTTGGTGGGTGCAATCAGTATGGTGGTAGATGGCCTGTTTTTAAATTTAACAACCAAATTGCGCCAGCGCACACGTTACAGGTACATCTTAAATGACTGATCATATCAGTTTATAATTGGATATTGATCTAAATGTGCTTTCCAATTTGTGAGAAAATAATTTGTCATCAGTTTGTTGACAAATCTATCATACTGGTAAGGTAGACCTGATAAGGCCTGTGATTAACATACTGTGCATCTACATGTACATGTACATGTAGTAGTAAGTCCATTAAACTGGCACTTACATGTACCTGTACAATTCGTGTACAAGTACATACAGCATTATTTTGAAGTAAATGCTTTGTTGGCAGAGCAGTTGAGTGTTTACATGTCTCGAACGCTGTCTGTACATGCAAGCATAATACTAATGTTTGTAAAATTGACTTCACGCAGACATTTACCTGGGATCTTGGTGGCAAACCACTCACATCAGCAGATTCCTTAGAAGTGGAAGTGAAGGATCATGAGAAAATCGGACGTAATAGGCAAGTATATAAATTACCCTCCCTCCTCCCTCTTTTTTAGGCAATGATTATAAAATATAGTAGTCTGTGTTCAGGGTGTTAGTGTTGTGGTTGAGACCTGAGAGTCTGAGATCGAGACTTGTTTTGAGACCAAAAAGACCGAGACCGTTTCAAAGAGGTAAGTTAAAAAGTACATACCGATACATGTATTATCAGGTACATAATTACATAATAAATACTTGTACTATCGGGTATCTGTCTGTCTCTCTGTCTGTCTGTCTGTCTGTCGGTCGGTCGGGTTGGGAAACAAAGTGTGACATAATAGTGAAATTTTTGAAGTGTTCAAAAACTTAATCTAATCTAAAAATATGATACTTTAAATGCAGAAACAATTAAATGTTGGTTGCGCCCACACAATTAATCAGTGCACCATATATTGAGGGCTGTCACACAAAGTGCAGACGTATCTCTTAAGGAGACCCCTTTACAAGAATTCACTTTTCTACGGATTGAAACAGACTCAAAACAAAACTGAAACGTGTTTAGTTACAATTTGAAAAACTGCCATGTTTAGTTTTGACAGTTGTCCCACAAACACAACGATCTCAAAGAATGTAACTGACAAGCTGTTTTAATTTACAGACCATAGTCATCCATCTACATGTACTAAAAGATTTATAATCTCTAAGGGCTTAAATCTGGAAAAAAAAAGGTGTTGATAAACTAATGTGTACGTAACATTGACACCTTGTATTACATCCAAATCTCCTCACCACAAAGGCCAAGTAGTCATAATGAATTCAAACACAAGACTGTAAAAACTTAGCAATTTCATAATCCACTGTTTCATTTTAAATTTTGAGATAAACTGAAGGAATGCTTTTCTCCTAAAAAGTTAATGTCACCGTCCAGAAAATGGGTTCTAACCAGGTCTTTGCTGATTGTTGAAAATGCTATGTAATGTCCATGTTCATGTACATGTACAGTTAAGTTTTTTTGCCAAGAAAAATGTTTTTAATTATTGATATTCAATGATTATTAATATTCAATGATTCTCACACATTCAAAAATCAGCTACATGTACATATACGTACAGTTATTATTGAACTTCTGTCATTCCTTTTCAAACTTTCATTGAGTGATCTTGTTTGGCCTTGAGAACAGTTTTGCAGATGTAACATTGAAACTGCACTCATGTAATGCCTGTTTAATCCATCTTTAAAAAAAAGCATTATTGAAGAAGTCAACAATGATATATTCACACACTGTACATGTACATACACGTACGTATTATACATCCTATTTAGAAGCACTAAATAAGTTATGCAGTCCAGGTGAGGGATGCACTTTCGCACGTTGTTGAGGTAGTGCTGTTGGATCCCCAGCTGATGAGTCAATTCCATCAGTAGCCTTGCTATAACACAAAACATGACGAAACTGGAGACATCACTG